CTATGCTGGTGACTTGGATCCTGAGTGGATGGAGGCAGCTAAAATCCTGAAGAGGTGTGGCTCAGGTTCATCTCTGTGCTTTGGGTTTCTTTGAACCTAGGCTGGTTAGGCTTTGGGCAGTTTGAGACATCTGACTCAATCCATATGTTGTAAGTTAGATGCTTAACAGTAAATTCTGGCTTCCCTTTTGAGGGCTTGTCTTCTAAGACCTCTCTAAGTGACTCTATAGCTCCTGGTAATTTATATGAGGTGAAAAAATGCAAGCTGGTTAATCCCTATAGCAGTACTAAAGATTGTGAAATACATAATGAAACAACTATAGTTTGTGTAGCCGTATTTTTGTTTCTGTAATCTGTAGTTCTCTCTGAAATTATTTTTCGAAACGCTGGCATTCCTTTGAATGGGAGGAGACGGCACTTTGGCTAAAATGGAAAAATACTGTTGTCAAGCTGGCTGTTTAACTATTCAGTGACTATAATCTTTAGCACTCAGTGACATATCAGAAGGTTCATTGTTAAGACACCCTCCGAAAATTCTATGGATTTCAAGTGTTATATGAGTGGCAATCTCTTATTTTATTGTCATATGAATACAAAATTTGAATAACTGTGGTCTGAAAGTTATATAGAAAATAATTCCTGCTTATTTGTGGAAAATGAGAAAAAATACAAGTATAAAAGCAAAATCTGTGGGGGAAAAAAAGGCTATTTCTAATAGTATTTTTTCCAGGTATCATTGTTCATAATAAAAAAATATATCTTTTTCTTTCCCTTCCTTGTAAATTATTCTCTAATATTCATGATTTCATAGAATGTAACACCCTGCTGACTTTGTTTGCAGGAGTTACATGAAGTGCTGCTTTTAAAGATCCTGCTCGAACTTGTATGTATATACATATGTATACACACACATACACGTATAGCAATTAATTTATATGCTTGTGTGTTTTGACCTGACTAAAGTAATAGTTAGATGAAGGATTTTGCCTCCTGCAGAATTACTGAATTTCTTCAACACATTATACATGAAAATCTTCAGATTTCTAATATCAGCATAGAAAGAGGATGTGGACCTGCCTAAATGAGCCAAACCTCCCTTCATCAGGTGGTTTGGTTTAAATGTATCGCTGGAGAATTTTGTCATAGTTGCTGACTATGGTCTATAGTGGGCAGTTAAGCCACAAGTAAATATTACAGCTTTACCAAAAGGACAGGCATGAATAGTCATTAGTTTCACAGGAAGGGAGGAAATTACCCTTTTCCTGATTGTCAGGTAGTTAAACTCTGTCTTTCCAGAGTGGATTTTAATCGATGAGGTGTTAATTCAAACAGTGAGGACAAAGGAACAGCGAAGAATTTTTTTTAAAATTTTTTTTATTTTTAAGCAGAACTGTAAACAGCTGAATCCTCAAAGGGTAAGTAATTTCTTTCTTGTGTTGTTCAGCTTAAATTAACCCTGAGAAAAACTAAATATCTTTTGTTTGACCTAATTTGCAAATTCATGGTTGGTACAACGTAATTGAATTAGTGCACATTAAATTTAGTCTGGGGTGTTCGTTAGTGCTGAGATTATCTGCACATACTAATAGCTTGATTATCAGAACTATCAGGCAATTGTTGGTAATCCAGGTAAATTAAAGCTACTTTATTTTTGTTTATTGCTTTGTAATTTGCGCTTTGGTTAATACTGGTAAAGTATTTCTGAAGGTTTTTCCCCTATATCTTTTTTTTCCATACAACCTCTGCCTTTGTTGTGTTTTACAGGGTTAAAAAAACCACAAAGAATCAGAAGTGCTTTTAAAACTAATTTGCTTTTCAGTAGACCTAGTTTATTCACTGCTGGACAACCCAGTATCTATTATTTGTATGAAAATGCTCTCCTTTGTTCTTTTTCCATCAGGTATAAAGTAGTATTTCTCTGCTCTGCAAGTCCCACATGCACTGTATGTTCATGAATGCATGTCGCTCTTCAGTATAGCTCTGGCATATTGCCATACTTAATGTAGAGTAAAAACTCCAAGACTTCGTTAATTTACCTGTTGAAAAAGCACAAATGACATGGCAAAATAAAATACAACTTCCGAGTAGAAAAAGGAGAAGACATGAAAGCAAACAAGGTACATTTTTTTCATTAATTTTCTTCCAAGCATATAACTTTCACAAAATTATCTGAAAAGATCACACTCATAAAATGATGTTAATGGGTTGCATGAAAGTGTGTATTAAAAAGCCATGTAATTTGGGACTCACCATTCCAGTTTTACTGTGTCTGAGCATAGAAGGAACTAAAACAAGGAAAGGTTTATGGCCCAAGCTTATATTCTTCAGGGACTTAAGATTTCCACTGTGGTTAATCAAAACTGTAGAAGAATAAAATGCTGTATTTAGCTCTAAACAGAAAGCAAGCAGAACAAAATCCTTTCAGATTAAATGCAATTTTCTCTGTAAAATTCTGTTCTCTTTTTTTTCTCCCAGATATGTTACATATGTTGGTTATACTGTGCAAATTGGGTAATTGCTCATCAGAGCAAAAATCCCTTTCAATTGAAAAGGAGCAAATATAGGTAGGACAGATTGGTAGAAAAATTCTTTTAAATGCAGTAATCTGCTGTTCTTGAAAAAAAATCTCATTTTCTATGAAAAATTGTCTCCACAAAATGTCTTCTGGGTCCTTAGCAGGTGTGATTTCGTATTTGGTACAGTGGTAGGAAGGGTGAGGAAAATTGCTGTGTGAGGTTTAATCCCCCCTTGGTTCTGAAGGATGAAGGAGCTGAACTGTCATTCCCAGTATGTTAGAGTAGTCCCAAGCCTGTTTTAGTTTATGGTGAAGGACACAGCCCCTTAAGGACAATTCCTCACTACCCCAAAACTGCTAGAATGCATTGCACTCTCCAGAATGCTCCCTTCACCGAGAAGGTGGAGAGCTTTTGGCAAATGTGTGACTCTGCTTGTTGAGGTTTTTTTTCTTTTACTGTAGATCATGTCTGAGGGTTGTCTATCCAGTAATTTCTTCTTTTGTCCTACTGAAATAGTACTGAGCAAGCTCTTGAATTAACTGCCTTACAATAACTGGATTTGGCAAAGTACCTAGAGACACACAGACTCGTGCCATTACAAGCAAAAAAACCTCGGTAGATATGCTGTTAAACGGTGCCTATATTTACCCTATCCCAATATTTACAAAAGAAGAGAACTACTGTTAAAAGAGCTTTTATCAGTGAAGTTTCACCAATCAGTTACCTAGAGAAAACAGGAAATCTTTAAAATGCAAGAAATAAACAAGTGAGGTGCCAAATCATGAGGTCCTTGAGTCTTTCCATACTCTTTCCTCAGGCAACCTCCCTGTTCGTCTCTTATGTTATATGTTCACAGGAATCATGCCCCCCTGTCCTTTCCTTGTGGTCCAGGGACTTTGTGTCCCACCGTAGCATAATCTCCATCCTCCTTTCATTCATAGGTTTTCCCCCTCATGTACAAGTTATCATCGTTTTAAGTTACACTGGCAGAACAGGAAGAGCTGTCATGGAGGAAAGACAAAGCAGGGTAGTTTTGCTGGAAGGAGTTTTTGGCTCCTGTTACGAGCGTCTGTGATCTGTGGACCGTAAGAGAGGTGGTTAAAACTGATAGCCTTGCTAACCAGATGCTGAAATTTCAGGATTGATGCTTCTCACTAAGCACTTCCCTCTTCTGTGTTTTTTTTTGTTTGGTTGGTTTTTTCTTTCTAATATTCACTGGATATCATACTCTTTCCTCAGGCAACCTCCCTGTTCGTCTCTTATGTTATATGTTCACAGGAATCATGCCCCCCTGTCCTTTCCTTGTGGTCCAGGGACTTTGTGTCCCACCGTAGCATAATCTCCATCCTCCTTTCATTCATAGGTTTTCCCCCTCATGTACAAGTTATCATCGTTTTAAGTTACACTGGCAGAACAGGAAGAGCTGTATGGAGGAAAGACAAAGCAGGGTAGTTTTGCTGGAAGGAGTTTTTGGCTCCTGTTACGAGCGTCTGTGATCTGTGGACCGTAAGAGAGGTGGTTAAAACTGATAGCCTTGCTAACCAGATGCTGAAATTTCAGGATTGATGCTTCTCACTAAGCACTTCCCTCTTCTGTGTTTTTTTTTGTTTGGTTGGTTTTTTCTTTCTAATATTCACTGGAATCAATAGAGTTGATATCTGGAAAATTTGGAGTGACTAGATTCAATCAGTGTTGAACGTTTTACATGTTTTGCATTAATGACAGAGGAGTACCACTGTTAGATTATTGCTTCCACTGGAAGATTTGATTTTTGGTAAGGGTAGACTGACAGATGCTCAGCTGATTTAAAATGGTATGATCAGTGCAGTACCATCAGAGTCAGGTGAAGCTATGGTATGTAGATACTAGTGGAATAATATTCCCATTTTAGTGACTGAGAAACTAAGCGACATGGAGATCATGAGGCCTGGCCACAAAAACTTAGCAGTCTCTTTACAGAACTGGGAATCAAGCCAAGCCTCCTAAAACCCAGTTCAAATTTCTGACCAGTGTTGCACTGACTGACAGACAGAGGCACTAATTAGTGACATTTTGAGGAGCTCACTTCTCTCTTACACACAAAAGTAGATTAATCTACTAATCATAAATACAAAATGAATGTATCTTCACCATACAGTTACAAAATGATGCTTTCAGTGTGACTTTTAAGCATCTTTCTGCTCATTCAACATTATTTTCTATAAACCAGAGCGCTTACAAAGAAATACTGTTCAGCCTCTTCTCTGCATAACAAAAACCAGCCTACAACTGTAAGGTCTCTTTCCATTCATCAGCCACCACATCTGTTGCTTGCTTGGACACTGACCAAAATGATTCATTCACATGTCTAACATTTATTTTTGGTGAAATACTGGGATTATACAGAAAGGCAATATTTCAAAACTGAGTCTAGAAAACCAAGGGAAGTCAGAAACAACTTCCTCAGCTGAAAACAAACACGGCGTTATATCATTCTGCAGCTTTATTAGAGGGAAGGCAGTAGCCAAGTGAAGCAGCTGGAATCACACTGAAGTCACTCCGAACTCTGCAGATCACTTCATTCCTCCTTCTGCTACAGAGCTCACATCCCTGATTTACAGTGTGTTTCATTCCAAATAACTGAAAGAGGTAGGTCAATCTCTCTATTACATTTTAAATCTTTCTCTCCCTCCCTTCTAAATAATGTGTTTCTACAGCTACACCACCGTTTGCAGGCAAATCCTGTAAGGTAGTGTAGCATATACTGGTTAAAAGAGCTTCTGGGAAGAAAGAATGTGATACTCATTTATTTCAAAGATTATTTTGAACCACCCCTGCAGCAAGAAAAGATATGAAAATATGTGTGAATTTAATTTTTAATGACTTCTGAATGTGTTTATACCTACTTCAAGGAGTCTTTTATCCTGTCAGAGAATGGTAAGTGACCTCGACTTAAATATCTTTCTCTCTCTTCCCCTTGCCTCCCCTTGTGTGTTGGTTTTAATTTTTTGATTTGCTTAGGGATAGTATGTCTCCTATAGCCATAGCAATTCCCAGTACTATTAGAAATAAGTACATCAGTTCTGATCTGAACAGATTCTAGAACAGAAACTGGAAATCATTTCCACTTAAGTAGCAGATTAACAAAATAATTCTGAAGAATTACAGTCATGCAGAATTAAAAAAGGCTTCTGTGGTCTGAGCTGGAAGGTGTGTGTGTTTTACCTAACCAACGTGGAATAAGGTAGGATGTGGATCTAGCTGTCACTAAGTGCATGGGAGCGTGTTTCCTAGGAAGTGACAAGAAGATTTGAAGCCTTATATACTACCGCACAATAAGACGGCTAGATTCTACCTCCTATTCAGACTTAGCGATAACCATGTCATTATCACCTGTAGCCTTTGTAAATGTGATTTTGCAAAGCCAAACAATATCCCAGACCTGGTTTTGTAGATTTGTAGAAGATGCATAGATTGTCTATGAATTAAAACACATTTGCTTTCTAGCTGAATAAAATTGTATTACTGAGTAATTTTAAATGTTTATTAATTCATAGCTAAGGAGAAGAGAGTGAGTGAGGGTACGTCAGGGTAAAGGAATTTGTTAGACCAGGTTTGTAGAAACTGATTCAGGATTAACTTGCTTATGGCAGTTTACTTTCACTAGCATCATATTATTGTTTTGCCTCAGCTGAACTAGGAAATGCAAATATTTTGATAACCCAATTTACTTTTGTTTAATGTCACTGCAACTTCTGCCCAAATTTAAAACATTATCAGCCACTTATGCCAGGCAGACAGGATAGAGGTCCTACCAAGTTTACTTTAATCCTAGGGATTTTATATGTGCTATGAGTGATATTAGAGTCCACTTTTATTGCACTTAGAATCTCCTTGAGTGTGGCGTAGTGGAAGTTATTTGACTCTGGAGAATGAATTTATGGTTTGGATTCTCTAATTGCCTTTGTGGAAAGGGATCGTAAGTCAGGGAAACTCTATATAAGGGTTCCTAGGCAGGATCTGATTACAGATTTTTACTGCACCGGTGGGGGCAGAGGAAAACCGTTGATGACAGTAATGCAGTTTGTATGTACTATACATTATAAAGTCTTCCTTTTCATTTTAAAAATTTCTTTCTCTGCTGACAACCTAATGAGCAACTTCTGAAATGCTTAGATTTGTGTTTATTTCTGATAGGTTGATTCAAGAGAAAAATTTGTTTCCTAATAAAGCCAGTTGCCTTAAAGAATTTTCTTCTCCTTATGTTTCTTAAAAGCCACTTGAAGTTTGTGATCTGTTCTTAGATATATTTTTTTATTAATAACTCTGCTATTCCAAGCACTAAGCGGCTAGTTTTGCAGAGGATTGTAGTCTGTTGAATGATCTTGTTACTTGCTTATTTGTTCATTTTGTCTTATGGAATGTGCCAACAGTTCAGCTGTCTCTCTTACTGTGGTGGCTGGTTGTCTGGCTAATTTTCACCCATTATTTCTGATAATGGTTTGATTTGTATTCATTCAGTCTGAAGCTAGCAGTTTCACAACAGTGCAGGGCTCTGTTGTTGCTGGCTTTGTGAAAGAGAGCTCAGTGGGAGGAACAGTTTCTTATGGCCTGTTACCAGAATAAGGGATTGCTGTGACTGGGGTGGGCGGTGTCCAAGAGACATTCAGTTTTGGAAGGGAAGATGCCGTCATGCACAGATCAACTCTCCCACACTTGCTGCTACTTTACAGTGTGCTTGAGGCTCCTGAGACAAAAAGAAAAATTATGTGTCCTCAAGCACATAGTACTTCCAGAGGAGCTCGGCTAATTCTGTGCACTTTGTATCTTCAATACGTTCCAGAGGTTGAGGGCCTGGAGACAGGAGCAAAAAGTCCTGTATCAGCCCACGGCTGCTCTTTTCCAGAGAGAATTGTTGCAGATCTCTTATATCTGGCCCACCATTTTACTGCATTACAATTCTTTAGATGAACTGAACAGACCTGCTGCAGATACAATACTTTTTCATTAGTGGGCTCAAAGGGAAACTAACAAAACCCATTGCTACAAGTCAGGTTTGTTTGCAAGGGTTATCTGCAAAGGCCAGCACTCTAGAAGTCTCCAGTTCTTGCCAGGGACATTAGCTAGCAAAGAGTTTGCAGCCTTCTCCTACTTCTCTTCTCCAGCCCAGGCTCACTTGTCCCTTTTGGATGCTTCTTGGAGGATGTATTTCAAGAATCACAAGGCACAAGTATGAAGAATCAGCACCTTTTCCCTCTATCCACAGAAGATATTTACCTCTTCATTCTTTTGGCAAGGTCTGAATTCTGCCTCCAACTCTACCTTTGAATCTACTGTTTGGCTTTGGGCAAGATACTTCTGTTCCTTTCCCTACTCTTCTTGTGTCTGTTTATTCTGTTTAATTATAAACAAGGCAGTAGTTGTATCTCATTACGTGCTTATAGTGCCTAGATCCAGTGAGACTTTGATCTCAAGGGCTAGGGCCTTTGGGTACTTTCCCAACGTAAAATACTTGCCTCTTTCAGCAAGTGTGAGCCTGGCACAGAAGTTTTATTCTCTTTTGAAGCCTTCTAGATGAGAGAGAGAAAGTGGTGAGCAGTAAGTCCTGTACCATCAATGTAATACCACTTTCTACACTCCCATTTCTTTTTTCTAGTGATCCTATTTTAATGAGATGTTTTGGAAATGTTAAGAACTATTGTCCGTTTAAGAAAACTGAGTAATGTGTTGTTGAGGTCCTAAACTCTTAACTGAGGGTGTTGTACCATATCCGGTGGAGTCAAATTCAACATGACATAGAAGTGATTTGCAGAGGTAATATGGGAAGCCTGTAAAACCAGTATTTCCAAGCTCCTAGTTTAACACCTTAATCATAGGCGCCATCTATTCTTACCAGTGCTAGGGAGTGTTCCCAATGCCATATTAAGGAGATAGATAAATATCCAGCCGTCCTGAACTTGTATTAACAATATGAATTTTTCAGTTTTGCAGGAATACAGGCAGTGCTTATTTAGACTTGAACTTAAAGTAAAGAATTAGCTTTGTATGAGTAGGAATATTAGAGGAACACTGATACAGTAGCAGACACCCTTAATGTACTGGACACAGTGATCCTAGTGTATTAACTGTGAGGACAAAATAAAGTATGTTATCTCATCAGCTGGAATGTTTTGGTTATGTACTAGCACTATTTTGGAATTGGATGTTCTGATATACCCATGAAAGAGTGTCAAGAGTAATAACCTTAGCAATATTACAATCACGCTAGAAGAAACTGCTGATGTAGATTTAATGAGCAGTAGAATAAACCTGGAAGAACAGAGATCAATTTAGAGGGCAGTACATAACCAAGCATACTGTTAGAAGTGACTGCGAAATTAATATGTGAAATAGAATAGGATATAAGAAGGCATATTTGAGGAATGACTCGTGTTGCTAATTTTCTTTGGGGTTAGCTCTTAACTCTTCTTGTTAAAAGGACTGTAAGTGTAACAGATTGTAAGCTATTTTTTATCTGTTATTTGATGGAGATTTTGTATCTTGCTGGAGAGGGTTATTTTATTTTTTCCATAATGACCTGTTGTTACCCTGCAGTACCTTTAGAATGGCTGTTGTTTAACGTATGTTTAATTGGCCTTAATCAGTCTGCTGAGACAACAGTTGATAGTCTGAAAGAAATCTCTGCATTCACTCTTTATTCTCTGCTCTCACTTTGCTACTTCCTGTTAGGAGGGAGTTGTCATTAAAGCATGTGTTTGCTGAAGGAGTACACCCATTTAAAAAACATGATCAGAGTCAAAATCTTCTTTCATCACAAATATATGAAACAGTTGCAAAGTAAAAATTCTGAATAATTTTTGCATGAAAAACGTAAAAAGCCATGCTTGATTAGAAATACAAGCATTCATTATCTTATCAATCTAGTCACTGTGAAGCTGAGGCACGTAAAAATTTTAAATCGGGTATCTCCATTATTCTAGGTGTATAGTTATTATGGTGACTCAGCCAAAGAAAATACTGCTGGCATTTGTGGAAGAATAGAAAACACATGAAACTTCCCTGGAACAATACTTCATTAGTGTGTGTATCCTACATGCTGAGGACACAGCCAATATTATATATGGTGTACCTGCTGGGCTTTGTCATCTGAGAGGTGTGTTTAATGGCTCTGAGGTATGTCCTGGGCCTGCAGGGACAGATTAATATATATGACAAGCAAATGCTGGAGATCCAGGTTCCTTTTCTCTTCAGCGTAGAGAAAACAGACCAGAATCTGCAAAGGCTGCCCAGGTACGGGCTGGCTCCCTCCAACGCAGTGGGCATGATGGCCCAGGGGAGAACCTCTCTTCAGGAAGGGGAACGTCTCCCAGAGGTGAAGCTGTGGTTTCTCCGCTCCATCACGAGTGAGAGGACAGTGTTATGTTTAAGAAAGAAGGATAGGACTGTGGTTGAACCACTAGGCAGGGACTCTAGGTTTAGCACCTGGTTTGATTGGAGACTTCCTGTAGGTATTCTCAGCCTTCTTGCCTGTAAACCAGACTGATGATACTTCTCACTTGAGCCCACTTTCACTAAGGGTTAGGAATACCGAGGTGTTATGACTGGTTATGTAAATACTTCGGCAGTGCTGACACGTAGAATATAAGACC